ACATTAAGTACCCACACACACACACTAAAGCACACCTGGCAACAGCGATGTCTCTTGCTTCAGATGAGAAGAGTCCAGCGACTGATTTTGGAACGCCTAAGAACGGTCCGCCAATGTTCATTACAGCTTTAATGTATTTGGCACACCAATCTGGTCCTCCACCGCCACCCATTGGAGCTGGTGCCTCTACCCATTTCATGAAATGCAAGAAGTATGGAACTCCCATTGAATGCGGAACAATTACTGCTTTTTTACCTCCATTTGTTTCAACCATCAGCTCAATATTACTTTTTATACGGCTAAGTGATTGGTCCCGAACCTGATGGAGTTTATGTTTTAGTATTTGTAGAAATATTAAAAGTAAAATCCTAAAATGATCACTTTATACGTGTAGCTAGTACCAAAACTTAATAGCTTAAACTGTTGTGTTGATATGTGCTTAGTTGAACTTATGTCTCGTCCCCGTGCCAACTCCCAATTCGATCACAACATAAAGTACTCATAATTTGTTCAGCAAGTGGGATCAAAACTTTATAATCAATGGACCATAAGGGAGAAGGGAAGACACACCTCTGTGTTCTGAAATGAAAGTCTCCAATCATATGCAGCCATATACATGGTTTTCTCCTCATATCCTATTCGAGCCAAATTAGCAATAAGAACCGCCCACACGAAATATCCTGGAGCAAAGTAATCTGCAGCCACGAGTCCTGTAACTGGCCTGACCCTAATTCCACGAGGATCCAGCCCAGTTTCATTGTCTAGTGACATGTGTTCCACCCAGCATAAAGGTCTGCATTGCATCAAGTGAAGCTCCAAATGTTAATTTTTTTTATTAAAAAAAAAATGTCAGCATCCTATTTCTTGTCACATGAATGAATGAACAATTTCCAATTCTGTGAGTGATTGCTTGCAGCCTTCATTAGGATCAAGTGAAAAGTAGCTTTCCAGCCCAGACTTAAATTACCCTTAGAAATAGTAATGAAATCCAAGAAGCTACAGAAAAAGGAAAAGAAAACAATACTCTGGGCTAGGAATAGTAATGAAATCCAAGAAGCTACAGAAAAAGGAATAGAGTACGGTTTAACCTTTTATAGACCTCGCCGAATGTACCGCCCCAAAGGCGTTTCCGGAACAAACCCTCGGCGCACTGATGCCCTTCCCAGAGCTCAAGCCCGCCGGTCACGATCCCCGGAACGAATACTACGGGATGCTTCGCCTTCAACCCTTCCTTCAATAACTTTACGCCGGGAGGATCGGGCGCCGGCCCCGTAATCGCCTCCGTGACATACTGCGGGAACGAGGCCGGCATCGCGTTGTAAAGGAACAACAGAATCCACCAAACGGTGCAGATGCATCCGATGAACCAGCAGCAGCCGTCGAAGCACGACCACCGCGGCGCCTTCTTGCCCTCGCCCTTGGCTCTGGGTACATGAGGCTTGCTGCCCCTCCTCTTCTTCTTCTCGTCGTCTTCGCTGGTCGGCCGGGAGGTCGAGGGCTCGGGCTTCGGGGTTTCCGGCGCCTTCTTCCTGCGAATCAACGACATCTCCGCTTCGCTGCTCCTTCCTCCCGATCGGGCGACGGCGGGCGGCGTGAGGCGGAGACAGACGCCTCCTTCTTAATAATAACGCATGAGAAAGGTGCCGAGGAGGAGGAGGAGGAGGAAGGAGAGTCCTGTGGGACCCGAATGGAGTCGCTGGTCCGTCTTTTTAATTTACGGAGCATTTAGTATTTATTTTAATGGGACGGACACAAGTTGCAATTGTTGCCCTGTTCCACGTGTACTAATCAATAATCATCGTCGTTGACAACATACGGCCAGGATTAGTCAAACACTTATTTATTCCTTCTTTTCGAAAATATCTCTCTAATTTCATTTTTTAAATTTAATTGTGTTAACTCTAACTAGCACTTTTGTCTAGGAAAAATTTTTCCTGTTGAACTTTTTTGTCAAAGGATAATATTTTTTGATCATAAATTAAACATAATTTGAATAAATATATATTGAAAAAAATTGATATATCAAAATTATATCTTAAAGTAAAACTAATTATATTGAATTTACATTAAAGTTAAATATATATTTTTCATAATTTATGGTAAAAAAGTATCATTATTTGATAAAAAATAATCAAAACAAAAAAATTAGGACGGAGTTAGTATTAATTACTCCTTCCGTCCTAAAATTAAGTAGTAAATTTTATAATTGATCTTTTATAACCAGAGATTTTCTTTGTTTAATCTTCTATTATCAAATATTACGCCCATGTATGTTACTTCTTTTATGGGTAGATTTCCACAAATAATCTTTTTTATCTAGTGTCATGTTGGTGGTAATTTAAAGATTAAAAATAAAATTTGACATCAAACATATGTGTAGTGACATATTTGATGTCGATTATATGGAGAACACAATAATAATGATTATGGTTGTTATGAACTAGGATTCTAACTAAAAATCACATTTGTAAATTATGATTGTAGCAGAAAGCGACTGCGATTCACAAATGATGCAATAAGAGCAATGTCTTGCATTGCGTATGACATTAAAGATATATGCTTATTGTGAATTTAAAATTTAACCTTCAAATTAACATCAATTAATAAATATGCCAAAAGATTTAAAAAAAACTCTCTAAGGAAAGTTACCAGTAAAAAAAGGATCATAAGCGTAATATTTAATAATAGAGTATTAAATATGGAAAACCTTTGTTATAAAAGATCAATTGTGAAATTTACTCTAAAACTAAATTCATAGTTTGACTTTTATGATCAAATTTTTTAAACTTTGTCTGTATATTATGAAAGAAACACATTAAATTTTCATATAAATTTAATGTCAGTATATTCATTTTGAGACATAATATTGCAATATTTTATTTTTATAACATATGTTTGTATATTAATAAAGATATTAATAATCAAAATGTTATATTAGAGACAATAAAAAGTTGTAAAGTTAATTTTAGCCTTTTAGGGGGGATGAAGTGTGATAAAATAATGAAATATTCTTTTGAAAATTTTCAAAATAGAGTATAATTTTAATAACATTATTTTTGTACTAGACTACTAGTATAGTAATGGAGGATAGCTTCGTGTGGCCAAGGACCACCACTTTAGGCATTAGGCGCCCGTATGAATTGTAGACTTGTCAAGTTGATACCCTCTAGTCTGCATCTATGTGCACCGATTTGAGATCTCGGGTCGTATATTTCAAAAAAAGAAAAAAAACTACTCCGTAATAATTATGGGATGTGTTTGGAAAATTGAATTTAAATTTTAAATCAGTGATTCATTCTTCCCTAATGTTTTGTAATTTATACTCTTCCCCTCCTAAAACTTTCTCTTTCTCTATGGTTAGTCTCAAAATATTTTTGTACTTTCTATTAAAAATACACTATCACTATTAATTTTTAACTTATCTAATACTTATCATATCATATATATTCATTACGGAGTATTAATTTACATACCAAATCTTACTTTTACATATCATATTCAAAGACATTTTTGGAGATTTAATATCAAAATAAACTCTCATTAAATCATTTAAAAATCCAAATCTCACATTTTTAGGGATGGAGGGCATAACACTACTTCGAGGTATCCCCTATTTTGAGAAATTAGTTGTCGGGTACCTCACATTTTTAAAATATACTTTAAGGTACCCTTTCTTTTGAAAAACTAACTATCAGGATACCTCACATTTTTAAAAAATACTCTGAGATACCTCCAGATATAAATTAAATTACCCATGAGGGTTATTTAGTCTCACTCTTCGTCAAAGACAGTTACGCCATTAATTTTAACAAATAATGGTTTGGAATTTCAAAAATAACATTGGTTCAAATGCTTTCAGGATACAATCTATCTAGTTTAGTCAAAGCCTTCGAATGAAACGCAACGACCCTCACGAGTAAGTTAATATACATTTAGAGGTATCCGAGTGTATATTTTAAAAATGTGAGTTACCCGACAATTAATTTCTTAAAATAGAGGGTACCCCGTAATATATTTTAAAAATATGAGAAACTCAACAATTAGTTTCTCAAAATGTGAGGTACCTAGGTGCAATTTTCTAGACGAATGGAGTAACATCTGCCTTTGGATGTGACGAGTAAAAATATAATATGATGAGTAAATTAATAGTGAATAGATGTGATATGATAGGTAGGTTAAGAATTAATAGAGATAAAAGAGTTTTTTAATAGAAATGAGAAATATTTTTTGAGACGGATGAAAAAAGAAAGAAAAAAGATTTTGTGGGGGCGGAGATAATACTATTAAATTTCTATCTAGTATTATTGTAATAAAATGCAACAAACAAAAAATACAATATACCCCGTAGTATATTATTTAATAAAAAAAGTATGCATTCAGTTATTTAAATATTGGGATTATTAAAAGGATATAACATTAGAATACATTCCACAACTCTTTAAAAATGTGATAGATGTTTGCGTAACCAAATAGACAAAATGTATAGTAGTGTAGCACTTAGAAATTTTCGTGCTATGGTAAGGTGAAGAAAGCCTATAATTTGTAGAAGTTAAAGAGGGTGATAGTTGAAGAGATTAAGGTGTAATTAATTTGGTGCGGGAGTTGGGTCAAAATGACTCTGTGTAAGCTGGGAAAAAAATATAATATTCAACGCGCGTCTCGTGAGTCAGTGGGACACAATGAATGCATCAAGAATAAACTTTTCTTACGCTAAAAAAAAATTATTAATTTTGCTATTCACAATTAAATTAATACAAAGATTAAATTTTTAAAGTCTAATAGGCTTTTGCAAGCCGAAACGAATAAAATTAAAAAAATGATTTTTTTTATTTCGACTTGAGCTAAACCGATTTTTCTAACTAGAAATTACCTTTTTAATTGGGGGTACTTTTTTTTCCACCCCGGGCCCATGTCCGAAGGGAGTACCGCAGAAATTTACCGGATTCTTTGACCGACCAGACAGCCTGGATCCGTTCTTAGATTATTTTTGGGGCGAATATCGGATTCGGGTCGGAGAATACCCGGCAAATGGCTGCTGTCTAACCGGCTGGATCTTTTGGCGTCCCCTCCTTCCAAAAATTAGAGCCATATCCATTGCTTCGTCTCCGATCAATCCCACTGTGTCGGCGTCGTCGATCGGATCACACCGCTCTGCCATCCTCCAGGTAAGTAACTGCATTTTCTCGATGAATATTGCTGTATTTGTACAACTTGATCTAGGGTTTTATAGTCAATGCCTACTTCCATTTCCGATATGCTTTACTCTTTTTTGGCCATTATTCATGATTCTCGCTGACAAATAACATTTCGCATCATATTTTTATGACTCTGAAATCTGAGTGATCGCGTCTGCGTTTGTGACTCTTTCCTCCTCCATCTGCGGTGTGCATTTAGGGGTTTCACTGCGTTCATGAGGCTCATAACCTCATTTTGCAGTGATGAAGCCCATAACTCTCAACAACTCCAGCACCCTATTCATCTCTTTAGCCATAATATATGATTAGTTATAAAACACCCATCAGGCTTAACCATTAGTCCACTTAAATGAGTTTTATGCATTAAGGTATTCGACACACAGATGTGTAAAGTGCAAGGATTGAAGATGTTGAGGCTCATGCCTCCATTTTAGCGAGAAAAATCTGGATTCTTGCCATCTTTGTTGATGTAATTTTTTGGTAGCTATTGGCCTCAGTCCGTTCTCTTTCCCATTTTTTCTAATTTTAATGCTTAAGCATAGACCTTTTTCTTGCTTCATCACGTAGTTCATTCTTTACACGATCTTGGGACATGCCTCTTCATTTTCACATCTTCACGAATAACTGAACATTCCTTTAATCATCACCAGTATAATAAAGCTCTATGTCTTAGTATTTTTTGTATTGTTCTCTGTTTTCCTCTTTTTTACTACATACTATTATCCTTTGTATTGAATCACACTTGTGCCCCACGTCTTTCTCGTTAAATACATCTTGTTATTTTTTGTTTATATCTTCAATCGCTTTTATCTATATGAAGCAAAAAGAAATATGTAAACCCTATAAAGTAAATGGTAGTGAGTTTAAAGTAGGTTAGAAATTATACTCCACTACCTAAATGCTCATTATTTTTTGCCATCAAACTATGTTTTGATCTGGTTGAACACCAAAGGCAGAAGGGCACTGCTACCAATTCAACAAATACCCCCTTTCGATATGGATGATGGATGTGACCAGATCAATAACAAACCTTTAAACTTGTTAATTTCTAGTTTACCAAGAACCCCAATGTTGGTTTTTGCAAATCACAACCTATTTTCAGGGACTGATAAAGAAACTAGACGCTACACCTACTTGCAGAGGGGTTTTCAGACGGTATTAATCAATCACTTGGTTTTCGTATTTCTAATAAAGTGATGAAAGATTTTGGAAATAGCATCTTTACATTTTTTGTAGGGGTATGCTTTGCATATACCCACCCCTCTTAGACCCCATTCACGAGATTTTACTTGGTAGATTGCTGTTTGGTTTATGTTGCAAGACATTTTTGAAAGAATAAAACAATGAGACCTATTGATAATGACTGTAAACTCAAGGAACTTAATCTCAACAAGTTTTATATGATATGGAAATGATTTCACACGAAATATACTCAATGAGCAAGTTGGAACTTGGGAAAATATTTTTCTCAAGAAAAATTAAGTTTTATTGAACTTGTGTTTTAACAAGGAGAATTTAAAAATTATTCATATATGGAATAAGGGTTCAAAAATGTTCTAAATTCAATTTAAAGTTCTGTCAATTTGTCATTTTATTTAAAAAAATGCACATCAAGGGTGTCACTCCATTCAAAATGAATGTTCGACACACATATTTCTTTATCATAGTTATATCTAAATTTTAAACTAATGGTCAGAAGTTTGATTGTTTCCCCAACAAGTATTCAATGCATGGAATGTTCTCAGCCTATGCCTCATACTTGACCACTTAAGGATTGGACCACTAAAGTTCGGATCCTAATACTATTCCTAAAACCAAGCTAATGAGATGGGGGTTACGGTCTTGATTGGGAGTTACAAAATAATAATAACAATGAATGTAATATTAAATAATATTTATTTACAACAATTATGAGGGAATATCTCTCTCATTTCGAGTATAAAAACTTTTTTTGGGCATATAACCACGAACTTGAAATTTTGGTTGAATTGGTTTTTTGACATGACATTAGAGTTTTGCTGAAGAAGAGGTCACAAGTTAGAAACTCATTGCCATCAAGTTTTTAAAAAACAAGGTTTCACATGCAGGACTTGAAGCAACCACGCGTGCATGTGAGGGGATATTTAGAATATAAAAACCTTTTCTGGGCCTACAACCACAGGTTCGAGCTTTTGGTTGAGTTGGTTACTCAACATTGGTCCAAGGTGAACAAGAGTGTTAAATGTTTGGGGAAAGTTCTTGAAATTGTTTTATCATTTTGTTTTAAAATACTATAATATGAAGTGTGTGAGAGTTTATTTAAGCTTGCATAGATGATTTACTAAAAGCTCTCTAACAAATAATTCACCTTGGAGTTGGGTTTTAGTGCTCTTCAAGATGTTTTTGCTTTCTCAAAACATAGTAAGTTGTGTTTCCATACACACTTAATCAATCACATTGATATTCTTGTTTCGATGTTCGCAAACAAGTTATTACTTTCATGATTGTTGTCATTGTTCAAGTGTATGGAAATGCAATTTTTTACTGTCTTGAGGATTTATCATGCAAGAGAATCTTGAAGAGCACAAAATCAACTTTGTGATCAATTTTTTTTCAAAATTTGAGTAATAAATTATCTTTGCAAGCTCAAAAAGCACACATACATCATACTATGATATTTTTCCAGAATTATTTTGTGATAAAACAATTCTAATGATAAATTTTCTCCCCAACTGTTGAAATATTTTGTTAAATGTTTTTAGTAGATACAAATTATTTAGGCCATGGCATGTGTCATGTCTTTGAATGGACATAGATGGACACGTCTAGGACACACTAATAGATCTAGGACTCATTTTTGGCTTATTTAAAACAATTTTTTTAAAATGAATTTATAGAGAGAAAAATACAACTATCTGGCTATTATCAATTTCCATTATCTGCCTCCATTGATTTCGATTTTGTGTATAGCATGTTAATCTACATCCATTGTAGAAGAGTTGAAGGTGACCTTCATTTTCCAAATATTCATTTTCCAAAAATGAACCAAACAAACAAAAAAACACTGTTCTCAGAATTCCAGCCTCAGAAAAAGAAAATGAATTAAGGGAAATAACTCATTCTCTAGAAATCATTTTCGAGAAGGTACTTTTCTGGTTCCCAAGCAAACACTTAGTTAAAATCAAAACACTTTCTAAACTCTAGTCACCAGTCACCCTACTCCAGTTTTATACTCCAAGATCTAGACTCCAACTTCCAGACTCTTGAATCTAATCTTGAGACTCTAGACTCCAGTTAATGTTACGGTGTAAAAAACAAGATGTTAGTGGGTTTTACATAGAGTATGTTACTCTTATGTTTTGCTTATTATATTGCCACTGCTTATTGCTCACTGAATGAGAACAGATAATCATGAAGTTTTATTGGAATGCTCATTCAAATATTCTCTTGTTGTCTTGTAGCATCTTAATCTTCAATTGCAAGATGCAGCATATTCTTAGTTTGAGCTGATATCAGAAGCATGCATTGTATTTCCCTAACACACTTTTTTTATGTTGTTCTTCACAGCTACTATCTAAAGTAGTTTAATATCATATAAATCATATTACACGAAATCCCTCGAGGATGGATATGCAGCAAGTTTTGCAGACCAAATCTTCTGTTAATGGCAATGGATTTGGCTATCGTAAGCCGCTAAGTGCAAAATCCGGTCACAGCCGGTTGACAAGTGTAGGTGAGAGCAGCTCACTAAATGTGTTTGATGTTCATTTCATATTACTGCCTCTAACTTAAAGATGTTCTAGGAAAAGGGGGTGCATTTGACGGTGCTTCACGAGATCGGCTATTTTACACAACTGCATGCCTTATTGGACTTCAAGTGGAAGTACAGGTGTTGGATGGTTCTGTTTTTTCAGGGATACTTCATGCAACTAATGCTGATAAAGATTTTGGTATATTTATGAAACAATGATCATTTGGCATTTTTATTTTTGTTTGAACTTAGTTGATAACTTTACTGCGACAAGTGTTAATTGTTTTTTCATTCCTTTTTAACTTAACTGCTGTAGATATTGTTCTGAAAATGGCTCGCCTTATAAAAGATGGTTCTCGTGGGCAGAAGAGTATTTCTGAATCTCTTAGCAAGCCTACTTCGAAAACATTCATAATACCAGCTAAAGAGCTTGTGCAAGTTACATCCAAGGTATCCTGCCTTTTTATTAACTACTTTGTATTAAGGAGCAAATGATAAGTGTTTTCATATCAATGAATTGTATAACGTTTGAAATGTCCGATATGCTTATCATGATGTCAATATATGACAAGGATTAAACAGTTATGGAGTAACATTTAACATTATTTTTATCTTATGCAACAGGGTGTCCATTTAACTCAAGATGATGTAAAATTCGAGTACCAGTTGGAAAGGCAGCATGAGTTAATGACTGATTCATGCATATCACAATCTCAGAATGTTGAGACAGAGCGAGAGTTGGAGCGCTGGGTACCTGATGATGATACTCCTGAGTGCCCTGAACTAGAGAATATATTTGATGGCCATTGGAATAGGTTGCTAAATTACTCTTTCGTGAAGCTTTAGGTTTACTATGATTCAATCAACTTATTTTTATGTATTTAACTTCCAATAAGCATTCAAAAGTATCTTGTTGTGTTGACTTATGACATTCTTTTTAGGGGCTGGAACCAATTTGAAGTAAATGAAACACTCTTTGGAGTGAAGAGCACATTCAATGAGGAACTCTATACAACAAAGCTGGAGAGGGGCCCCCAAATGAGGGATTTGGAGAGGGAAGCTTTAAGAATTGCAAGAGAAATACAAGGCGAGGAAACCCATGATCTTCACCTGGCAGAGGTGATGAGTTCTGGTTGTTTAAGTTAAAAGTTAAATGATTATCCCCCCCCCACCCACGCACAACACACATTTATGAACTACCTCTCACATTTTCATTGCA